AACAGAACGATCAAAATGACGGACTCATGTTCTATGTCCTCCATGATATGAGTTTCAAATGAAAGGGTTTACCGAAAAGAATATAGAAAATGACATGACGTCACTGTAAGTCCAATATGGCGGAACACTCAAGGTGGATGACTTGTTTTTTATGAACCCCATGATCCCATGGGTATCAAATGAAAGGGTTTCATGAAAAGATACGAACAATAACATGAGATCACTTCAAATCCGATATGGCGAACCGCCAAATAATTAAAAATTTAACCCATTGCTTGATAACTTGGCAAAGGTTAGAGATAGTTCGGTGGTACTCGATAAATTGTTGAAGGAACGATAACTAAAAAAATTAAATTGTAAACTTTCAATGATAATAAATCTTGGTTTTGTTTTTCGTTGATATTGAAAATGCCTACCCTGCTCTCTGTATCTATCAAATTTGTTTTTAATAATTTTTCACACATTTCAATTTTCACAGCATACATTTCTTTGAATATTTTTATTCTCAAATTGATTTGATTTCATTACAACGTTTATCGGGTCTAATTATTTTGGAGTTCTGCAGGCCAGCAACTTGTTTTCAGTGAACATTGCTCTTATTATCTTATGGGAAAGTTGAAATTATTTCAGGTTGGGCCTTCCAGATATGAATCTCGACCAGATTGAGCATTTACAACAGAAAAATTTACAACCCTCACCTTTCGAGTATGAAAAAATTTCTAATTTATCATAAAATTGAAAATAAACCTTGCAGGTCAGGCTTCCCAGATAAAAATATCCACCGCGTTATTCATTTTCGACAAAAAAAAATCCAATCCCCACCCTTTGAGTATGGGAAAATGTCACAATTCTCATGAAATTGAAAATGAACCTTGCAGGTCGGCAGAAATTTTTGCAGGTTGGGCTTCCCAGATGAGAATCCCGACCATATTATTTATTTCCGACAGAGAAAATTCTCATAAGAATGAAAATAAACCTTGCAGGTCGGCAAAAATTTTAGGGGTATGACCTCCCAGATAAGAAACTCTACCAAATTGATCATTTCCATAAAAAAATCTTACAACCCACCCATCGTTTTTAAGAAAAATTCAAATTTCTTATAAGACTGAAAGTGAACCTTGCAGGTCGACAGAAATTCCTGCAGGTTGGGTCTTCCAGATATGAATCTCGACCAGATTATTCATTCCCGACAAAAAAAAAATCAACCCCCAACTTTCGTGTGTGAAAAAAAATCACATTTCTCACAAAATTGAAAATAAACTTTGCAGGTCGGTGGAAATTCTTGCAGGTCCGTTCTCCTACATGAGGAATTCAACCAAATTTCATTTGGTTGAGTTCGTTTCAGAATGAAAAAAATCTAACAACCTACCCATCGGGTTGCAGGTCAGGCCTCCCAGATAAACATCCAGATCAGATTATTCATTTTCGACAAAAAAATTCCAACCCCCAACCTACGGGTATGAAAAAATTTCATATTTCTGACAAAATTGAATATAAACTTTCTTTCTAACAATCCATCGGTTGGACATGAAAAAAATTTCACATTTATCACAAAAATGATAATAAACCTTGCAGGTCGGCAGAAATTCGTACGGGTTGGGCTTCCCAGATGAAAATCACGACAGAATTAATCATTTCTGACAAAAAACTTTAAACCCCCACTGTGTATTGAAAAAATTCAGATTTCTCACAAAATTGAGAATGAACCTTGCAGTTCGGGCTTCCCAGACGAGAATCTCGACCAGATTGATAATTTTCGATAAAAAAGTCCAACCCACATCCTTCGAGTATAAAAAAATTTCAAATTTTTGACAAAATTGAAAATACCTACACTTAGCAGGTCGACAAAATTTCTGGCAGGTCGGTCCTCCCAGATAGAAACTCTACTCGAAGGCTGGGGTAGAAATTTTCTTTGTCGAAAATGATTAATGTGGTCGAGATTTGTATCTGTTGAGCCCAACCTGCAAAAATGTCTGCAGACCTGCAAAGTTCATTTTTTATTTTGAGAGAAATGTGTATGAAAGTGAAAATGATCAGTCACATGCCTTTCCGTGCGTGTCTAGTTTGAGTGTAGTAGTCTGTGTAATTTATCTTTATTTTTGTAATTTAGTTTTTACCATAGTTTATACTATGCATTTGCAAGCTGAATTAATTAGTTCCTTAAAATAATAGCATTTGTGTCAGATGACGCTTCAGTACGGACTGAGTTCATCCAGCACAATTTATATAACCTCAAACCAGGCTGCATGGTTCTTATTTTAATAAAACTGTTTCACAATGCAAATGACGACGTTTCCAATCGGAAAACCACTTTAAATTCAAATTCGACGGAATAATTCCAAGCATCCGAATGAAAACGCGAAGGGAAAGAGAAAAGAGTCGTATGAAGTTATTTTGCAAACAGCACGCCTAATTTCTGAGGAAGAATGGAACTACGAACTGCTAATTTGAACAGCTGCCTCCCGTTCGAACGTCCAATGTATTTAAATGTCACATTTCGCTCCCAAAATTCGCGGACGGTTGTTGGCAGCGGGCTAAATTGCTAAAATATAGGTCCGATCACCATGACGTTGCATTGTATGAATGCGGATGTCCTTTACATGTCGTTGGGATTATTAATTCCTGCTAGGGAGAGTGTGAGAGACTTCAAAATTCATGCACTAGGACTAAATTGATGACACGTGTGAATCGTTGTTCCACTGTGAATCAAAAGTGTATATAGATTATAACAACAAGTAGCCACATTGTCTGCTGCATAATTGCTCATATCCAATCATTCTAGAGAAAATTCGATGACAAAATTTGAATTGTCTTTAAATCTTTCCGTTGGGGAAACTCTTTTTAAATGAATAATTGAAATACGGGAAAAATAATGGATTGATAGAGACTTCTTGCTTTTTGCTTTGAAATTTTGGAAATCATTTCAGAATCTTGCTGAGATAAAGTAATTTTTCTATTTACTTTTGTTTCAAATCCATAAAGTGGTATATTATTAGGTTTCTTCTTTTTATAATGTTGGTTTTCAGGAAAAAAGTAAATTTCATCAAGTTTTTTAGAATCATGATTTAAAGCAATTATATTGCTATAAAAGATGAAGAAACTGACATATCGAATCACGAATATCTCTTTCATCTGGGTATAAGAGTTCTAATAATCAGAAATAGACTGATGTAGAATGATTTAATGAAACAAAGATCATTTTACAAAAAACCAGTATAAACCAGATAAGATAATCGAGAGGTCATGTTTACTTTCATCTGTTAGTATTTCTCGACCCAGACACTAACTTAAAACGTGTCTGATTTTATATTTCTTTAAAAAAAATGATTTATGGTTTTGATAGAAAAAATCCAGATGACACATAAAATGAAACAAAACATGAATTATTAAACAAATAATAGAAACACAAAGAAGTATTGTCATTGGTTGATGATTTCTGTAGTGTTGAGTTGAAAGCGTTCAAGATCAAAATCTAATGGAGAAATATTACAGATATCAATAATCATTTCATCAGGATTTGGGATATACTTTTCCACAGAATTGTTATAGAATTTTCAGAGAGTTTTGAAATGGTTGTTTTACATATCGAGAGTATATGTTTTATAATTTCAAGTTTTGAGACAGTTTGAGAATGAATGCAAAATTATTGTAAGTGGAATTTCAGTTTATGCTTAAATTACAAATGTTTAATATCTAAATTGAGAAGTAAAAATGATTTCCGTGTGATTTAAATCCGTAGGTGAATTATAGTTGTTATAGGAGGTTAATTATTCTTTCTTGAAGAAATATATTTGGATGACCTGCACTTTACCTATGAAAATTTATTTTATTTTTATGGTATTGGTGTTGCAAATACACGAAAAAATATTTATATAAATATTTACCTCATATGGAATAGTTATCTTCTGATGACGAAAACTGGTTGAAAAAAAGGCCTCCAAGAGAAACATTTCTGAGATACTGGAAAATACTCTTTACGTGTTCCAGTAAATATTACTGGAACACGTGTCGAGGTATTGAAATAACGGTATATTCACCAAAGGTTCCAAACAGAGTATCACAAGTGAAAACTACTTTATATGTCAATGATATCAGTATTTTGATCTATGAAAAAAATAGATTTATATTTTTGTATTGAATTGAATAGTAAAATGGAATGGTCATATCTAATAAATAAATTTATTGACAATTCTGGTGATCAATGTTCTGTTTCATTAAAAGAAAGAACAAACTATATTCATTGAATGAAAAAAGCAATAGCTTATTTCGTTTCAAAGCGGAAATTATTTCATACAAAATATGCTAACAAAGAATTAATATGTTAATTTTACAAGAAATCTAAATTATATTCTTCAAGGTTCAGCAAAACTTAATGAAGGAAAAAAAGTGTTGGCTCATCTGCTGGATGAATAACAAGCTTAACATGCAATTGAAAAATTGAAAAATGTTACTGTTTAATATATTTTAAAGTATTGATGAATATTTTTTATACTACATACATACCTAGTTGTTCTCCACTCTACCGTGTTATTCACCACCTTGTAACTTTTTATCAGAAAGACATTTGCACTTTTTCCTTCGTTATAAATATTTCATTAAAGAAGTTTGATGAGCTACAGTAATTAGTTAACACCAAATAAACCATTTTTAATTTTTGTACAAATCTTTGGAATAAGCTACATCAACAGTCTGGAAGCCAGCTTCCTGATTGTAAATAAAAAATAAGTTGTGTATTTTGATGTTTTACAGAAAATAAACAAATCATTAATATATATCAGCATATTATTACGTGCCTACACTGTAGTAAATACGAAAAATCTATATCAAAATAATTATATCATTTGTTTGTCAAAAAAACTATGACTATAAACATTCTTATCATCAAAAGAAGTATCATGTGACCTTCATGAATTCTCGAATTAATGTTTACAGTGTGTCTCTTCCTTATCAAGAATAAATTAGATTGGAGCAGACCTATATAAACAACCCGTTCAAAGATAAAGCCCAAAAGAAGTTAGTTATTCTTGACTGCCAGTCAACTTACTTTTAAGAAGGTTTAACAGTTCTTTGCATAAGTTAATTTGAGTTTCTTCGACTGGAAGAAGACTAACAACATTTGCAGCACACACCACTGAAGGTAAAAACCATTCTATTCATGCTAAATTTGAAAAGAAATCATCTAAAATCGTCAAAATTTTTAGAATTAGTGAAAAAAAAGATGGGAAAATATTTCCATCAACTTCTGGCATCAAGCAATAAAAGTTTCATTAAACATAAAAAAACATCTGTACAATTCTTACCTTTTTGACATTCCCGAATTCACTGCACTTACAAGCATAAATAAAAATGTTTAGAAAAATGACAAATCTAAACATTGTTTTTAGAGACCAATAGAAAGCACAATAAGTGTTAGGTAAAATTTCAAACACTCAAATGACAGCTGCAACTGTAAATACATTTATATATTTCTGATGTATGCTCATACCACTCCCATAACCTACCTATACCAGTACCTTGAATCAAATTCATAAAGAAACAAAGCGACGTTTGTACCATTACTGCACATTTATATTTGGTTTCATTTTCAAATTATCTTCATTAACATGAAAATTTCCTGATTTTTTCATTTAAAAAAGTTTCAGTAAGACACAGAAAGAAGAAGGGAATCATATCATTATTAATAATTTGAATTCAAGTTTTGATTCAAGCTTTAATATCAGTGTCAGCAACTAGTAACTAATGAGTAGGTAACCCTGTCATTCTCAAGGATTATAAGTACACTTCTGTTAAACAGGTATCTATTTGAATCAATATTATATAATCACTTGATTGTGGTTTTCCTTTTCACACCTCGTGAATATGTAAATTACTATCCATACCTTGATGTCTTTCTAAATTATTTTTTATGGAATTGTGACCTTATTTTGGTTGCAGGAAAAAATTAAAATGGCAGCAGTCATACCAGCAGTGAGCACCATTTCATCAAGAATTATTCGAATTTTGGGATGTAACCCAGGAATTATGACCCTACAAGGCACCAATACTTACATTGTTGGAACAGGAAAAAGGTGAGATTATCTGAAACCTTTTGAGTGATTCGAATGAGGCTCGAGCGCTCGAGCTAGTATAGGTTAAGTTATATAAAGAGTAAACATGTCAACATTTCCTTCGGTCGTGTCTAGTTTCCCGACGGGACGTAAATTATCCAAAAATGTCTTTGACACAATGTATCAGATTTAAAGTAACGTTTTTTATTCGTTTCTTGAATTGTTTTTCTGTTGATTCACCAAGAAAATCAACATAACATTCTGAACTTTCATTTAGGTAAATTCATCAATGTAATCAACCCTCCTATTATTTATCTTTGATTACAGTTTTGGAGTTGTATCATATCGATCCTAATGAACCCCAAATAACTTTTGTTGAACATAAGACCACAATTATAAAGGGATTATTTTGGATGACTCATTTGGGAAGAATTCACCAGTAACAAAAAAATTTAAACAAGACTCAACCTCTGACGGAAGCACCAAACTCTTTCGAAGGTTTGAAATAGATGAACACTTCAATCTAGCAGACCACTATTATAATATTCAAGCAGTCATTGTTAACTGTGGTTCTGGCGTTGAATTTGGTCATTATTACGTCTTGGTCAAAGGCGAAAAGGACAGGTTTAAGTTTGACGATAGTCGTGTCACGAAGTGTTCTGGCAATGTATTGAATTTATTGGAGCCTCTGGAGACAGCCTACATTTTGTTTTATGAGAGAGAGGACATTGGCAGATCATAATCTTCAGATGATGTGGTGCTGCAGGTTGGTGCTGCAGGTTTTTCCTGCAGCTGAAAAAGCAAATGCACCACTGGAATCAATGAAGTCGCCCCAATTAATTTTTTTTGTTGTTCTATACGTTTATCAATTAAAGTAATATTTTTAAGCCATATAAAAAAACTTAACAAAACAAAATAAATTTATTAATCTAAAAATTGAACTTACCTAGTATTTGATATGGCAGAAATGCTTTAATTCATTATGAAAATAGTCACATTAGTGTAAATATACATAATGTGGTTAAATAAACTACTACTACTGCAATAAGCAGCTCATTTAAAACAATATTATAACTGAGTGGTTTCTGAGTTATTTTTTTTATTGTTAGAATAATTGATCAAATAATTTTCTAAAATCATTAACTTCAGCTTAACATTGAGTTTTCCTCTGTTATGTCCTGAAGAGTACCAGGAAAATAATGCAAACAATATTTTTCTTTTCAGGAGAATTTTAATTGACACAGGCGACTCTGATGTTCCACAGTACATTAACCATCTGAGATCTATATTGACCAATGAAGGCATTGACTTGGCCCATATATTCATCACTCACTGGCATCATGATCATATTGGAGGACTCGGCGATATTTTGAACGACATAAAAGAAAAAACAAGTGAGTGTGTCATGATATAGTTTTTGGTATTCTCAAATAGGCAAAATAAAAAACTTTATGAGAATGAATATTTCTCCTTCTTCTACCTTCAAGAATTATGTCTATTGCGAAGTAAATTGAAAATTTTATATTTTTTTCACAGAACATTGTCAAATATGGAAATACCCTGGCGGTAAAAACTTGGACAACATCAACAAGAGTATTGTCATAGAATCTCTGAAAGATGGGCAAGAATTTGCAGTGGAAGGTGCCACATTACGTGTTGTCCATACTCCTGGACATACCGAGGATCATGTTGTTTTCCACCTCGTTGAAGACAATGTGGTATTCAGCGGAGACTGTATTTTGGGGGAAGGAACAGCAGTATTCGAGGATTTGTATGACTACATGCAGTCGTTGAGGGAAATTGCCAATTTGCAACCCAAACTCATAATGCCAGGACACGGAAATGTGATACATGTAAGCATTAGTGTATAATAGATTCCACAAATAATTTATGTAACTATTCAACTACTTAAAAATATTGTGGACAATGTTTACTGAATTTTTTTTATTTCAGAACCCTGCAGAGAAAATAAATTTTTACATCAATCACCGCATGGAACGTGAGCAACAAATCATGGACGTGCTTAATCAGGACAAGTCCCAAACATTCAAAGAGAATGATTTGGTCCAAATGATTTATACAAATCTCCCCGAACACTTAGTAAAAGCTGCAGAAAATAATGTTAACCATCATCTTGTGAAACTACTGAAAGAAAAGAAAGTGAAGAAAATGAATGACAAGTGGCAGATCAGTGAACATACCTTCGTCAGAAGTTTCTAAGTATTACTAGGTTAAGGGAGTTTGAAAAAGGCTGTATTTAAATTATGTGTGTTAGGTTAGGATGTGAGGATATTTTTTTTGAATTGTGTACTTGCTAGTCATTACAAAATACTCTAATTTAGTTAAGTTGATGGAAAATTGAGGTAGGATTAACATAAATTAAAGTATTGTATACTTCATCTTTTTAATCAAAGAATCAAATCACCATCATAAACATTAGCACAGCCAGAAAAAAATTCTATACTGACAATCAATGTTTTTAGTGGCTTCCTTTCTGGCTGTACAGGAACTGAATAATATATATATATCATTGTTTCATATAAAAATAACATTGAATAAATAATGAAAGAATAATCAATAAAGAATTATCCTAAGATTCGATCATCTTTTGATTTTTTTGGAGGGTGGTGGCATTATTTCAGAATCATCATGAAACCTGTACTTATCTATGTAATCTAGAAGCTTTTCCTTAGTCACAGGATGCTTGATGCTCCCACAAACAGCTGAAACAATAATAAACATCAGTGAATATGTAAAAAAAAGGCAAACCTAAGTAAACGAAAATTTGTTTTCTTATTCAAAATAAATCCAAAAAAATTTTAGGAAGAAATCAATAAGTTCAGAAGTTACAGGTACATAAATTATAATGTGTAGCATTCCTATGAATATCTGATTCAATTCCATAATCAATGTTTGAATTTGTTTGGGGAGAGCTTTTTCTCCCAGTTTGTATATGTGAGTAACTTTTATGCAAGATGTACACATCTTTGTGAAGAGTTTTTTTTCAAATTCGATTGTTTTCTTTCGTTCTATGGGAGTTTGTATAGATTTTTTTGTATAGATAGAAAATTGAACGCAAAAAAGTTTTTTTACTAAAAAATAATCTCCTAAAAATATACCCCTTTCAATTTAAGCATCAGTTCTCTGAAATACGTTGTCAACATGTGTTTTAACAACGTGAAACGCGTAAAGAGAAAGGTATTGCAGTTCTGATTTTAGGAAGAAGTGCATGTTTTGGATTCATTCTATGCAGAGATTCCAATTTTACCTTTCAGAAAATTTGTTCGTTTCAATGTGGTTCACACTATTTTATGTTAGAAATCACACGTTAAAAGGTAAGACCTCGTTAGTCCTTAGCTCGCACAAGTTTCTGAGGGTTGTCGTTCGCCTTCATAAAATAGAAAATGTGGTAAAAAAATTATTGGAAAATTTCCAGAAGATTCTGAGGGCCGGTAATATCCTTGTTATCGACGAGTCGATGGTGCCATTTAGAGGAAGACTTCTTTTTCGGCAGTATATTCCGAACAAGACTCACAAGTATGGGGTAAAGTTGTACAAATTGTGTTCACCAGAAGGATATACTTTCAATATATCGAAATACACTGGAAAAGGTGACACCAAAGCCGATCTGGGGCATTCCTAATCAATTGTTTTCAAGTTGCTGGAATGTATCGAAACCAAGACTAATAAAATATTATTTGCCGACAATTTCTATTCTAGTATTCCTCTGGTAACAAAGTTATTGCAGGAGGAGATAATGTATTGTAGAACTTTGAGATCCAATAGGAAAGGAATACCTGACAGCATTAAATCAAACAAGTTCAAATGGGGTGAAATTCTAGAAATGAGGTAAATAATTCAACAACACCTCATTAGTTGAAATCAGTAAATTTTCTATTTCTTTTTCGGGAAGGTGATGTTCGAGCTTATTCTCGGCACATCTGTCGTTAATGCACTAGTAGTATACAATATGTGTTCTAGAACGAAATTGAGCATTAAAGAACTCAGACGACAGTTGGCTTATTCGTTGTTACGAACCCTTGAGAAGCCAGATCTTCCCAAGAAACGAGTTCATACCTTCTCCAAACCAGAGGGACCAGGTAGAAAACGACTAAGCCTTGTAAAGGTTATCGTCAAATATTGAAAACGTCAGGTTTGACTTGTCGCCAAATCGACAAAAAAGTTCGTCGAGTTATATCTTTTTGTGCAGATTGTCCAGGTTAAGCTGGGTACTGTTTGGGTTGTTTTAATTCGGCTCATATAGTTTCAATTCGAAAATTATGTGTCAATAAAATTAAAGAATTTAACTCATTTGACTATTTCTTTACCTAATGTATGTGGTAATTTTCTTTTTTCATTTATGTGCTGAATGGGACGCCGAAGGCATGTGAGATTGAAATTATAGATATATCACTGTGTGACAGTTTTACCAAAAAATGCAATTCAAAACTATCGCCTCTCACTGTTAGATGGATCTTTATAGCAACTTTTATACACATGCCACCGAGGGCATGTTACATACACCATTTCAGAATGAATAATGGTCCCTGGAGGCATGTGGCATGTGCCGCATATTCACCAAGGCACCTCAATATGCTGCCGCAGTCAAAGTGTTTATTGAGTATAGAGTAAGAATATTTCAACCCAATATCAGGAGTCTTTTTGGTTTCACAACTATGATTTCACCCTTAAAAGGGTGAAATCATAGAAATCAGATTTGCTAAATTGAAAAAAATCACTGTCAATAAATTGTTCATGTCTAGTACCAACTTGAGTTATATTGAATCGTTAGGTTAGGTTGAAATTGAATCTAATGGTATAGTTTTTCTGTAAAAAAAGGTTTTTTCCGTCTAAATAAATAAATACCACCTGGACCAAATGACAAATTCGATGGTGAACCTACAATTCGATTAAAAACATTAATTTTGATATTCACACTTCTACAATGATTAGTTTCAGGTCTAACTATATTATTAAAGAGATTATTTGAGTAAATTGTTGAAAAAATCACCATGAAGATTTGTTATATCAGCCCTGTCTTGCCAAATATATCATCGTAATGCATAATGTAAGGTATTTCGAAAGAAATTTGACTTTAATTCACAAACGATCAATGAAACAGGATTTGCTCTCCATTTCTTTATCCAACATGTCCCTTTTCACTTCTCTGTCTTTAATATATTTAGTCATGTAGCCAAGCACAAACACCAATTTTTCATCATTTTCCTAACTGTAGTTGATGACTAGAAATTTTTTATATATGATACTCACCCAATGCAGTTTCATAACTGTTAGGGAATGATTTGTCAGTTCTTTCCCTCATGAATTTCCATTCACAGTTTTCATACTTGCATTCTATAATTTTATTATCGAGATCCTTCAAAGATTTTGAATATTTCATTTTGTCGAATGGTTGAGATAACTGTCCAACAAAGAGGTGGCAGACTTTCTTAGAAATAATTCTGAAACATAATCAAAATGAACTCATTAATAGCCTCAAAAATTAACAAATGTGCAAAACTCACCCCTCGCCTTCTTCCTTCACGATTTTCAGTCTAAAATCAACTGAATTCATGTCTAATGGTTTCCATTTGAGGACATCGTCACACCGGCCTGGTATATAAGGCTGTAAAAGTCATTCATCAAACAAAAATCTTATTCATTTCAATTAACAAAACTGCACATGATAGTTAAATTTAATAGTTAAACATGATAATCAAATTTTTCATACCAATATATTTTTGCAAGACTTCACCTCATTCAGTAATAAACTAGTCAATTTATAACTATTCATCTCATAACTCTCAAAATAATAATACTATTCGGGGGAAGCAATAAAAGATAAGTTTTCTCGATTGTACTTTTTATCCTATTCTTTGTAATAATAAATACTAATCAAACCAACACTACTTGTTTCGACACTAATAAACAAAAATTAATGAAACATCACAGCATAGATCATGGGCGCAACGAATTACCAAAGGCTTGTTAAGTAGACTTTCCTGTCTAATTTGGCATTTCTGAATTGAATATTGAGGATACACCAACATAAACACTTCAAAACGAATTCAGAGGTGTACTTCAGATGTGATTATATATTGCCACGCAATTTGAAATTTATGAAAAAGTACCATTGGTTACTTCAACAAATTATAAGTTACACACACTTAGTCTTTATATTGAAATCATAAAACACCCTTCTAAATTGGAGCCTGACAAAACAGGGTACACTTGTGGAATAACTTCAGGTTTTTCATTCTATATTTAAAAAAACAACTTTTATCACAATGATTTTTTGAAGCAATTAAATTATTCACAAGTATCAAAAAAGATGTCATCATTATAACATACCATAACTATATAACAAATTCCTCATTGGCACTTATGGTATACTTGTCATTTGACAATTGTTTTAATAATTTATTCTCCTCTCTCAAACAGGCTTTTTCACTCAGATAAGTATCATCAACTTGATAGATTGATTCATGCTTACATTCTTTTTTTTTATTATTAATTTTTAACACACTTCTATTAGCTTTACCTGTATGTATGTTTGTTTGTAACTCTCACGCTCGGGATCTGTATTGGACAGAATTATCGACATTATTACTAGATCTATTCACGGGCAGATGGCACTGTACGTAACCTCCTTGATTATCGACATTATTGCTTGATCTATTCGCGGGCAGATGGCGCTGTACGTAACCTCCTTGATATAGTTCGAACTCACTTTACATGTATTTCTTCATTTGAAAAAGGTATTTTTTTATTAACACGCGCGCCTGCTGCCTTATTTGTAACCCTCCTTTACGTGCCTGCTGCCTTGGGCTTGGTAGCTGATTTTCAGGCTCCCTCTCCGGAATAGGAAAATATCAATGGTCACTTTTCTAAACAATATACGGCTGATTGATCCCAAAGTATCACTTGACTGTTTGAAACATGCAGGATGGAAATAAATATTAGCCACATTCAACACATTTGACTTTGTAGACAACTTTTTTTTTTTGAGCAATGCTTACAAGTATATTTTTCAATTAACTTAGTAGGTGGTGATAGTGGACTAATCTTATTTGCCATCTTGTATGTAGAAAAAGCCTATCAGGGTACTGGGCGTCTCGCGGTATACCATGCACCTGGTTTCAGGAACCTCTGTACCCATCACGTGACTATGGTAGGATTGGAAAAACCCCTCTTGTGATGAGATTGATAATGTGAGTGTTTTTTCTTATAATCTAGAGGCATCGAATATAACAAGCAACTAATATCAATATTGAAAGTCTTGAATTACACAGAAAACTTGCTGGAATAATTTTTCTGTATAAATTACAGAACAACAATGTGGATGCTATGGAGGTGTTATCTTTTATAAATTTCTGTGTGCCTCATTTTAGAACTAGAAGTACAAAACCTTTTGACAGCCAACTGAAACAGTTGGATAATAAAGGCCAATTATTATTACCTCTTTGGAAGGCTGGAAGATAAGACCATCAGGTTCGTGTGATAACGTTTTGGCAAATTTCTCTCCTAACAAGCTTGCTGCTTGTGTTACTTCCCAAAAATCTTTTTTCCTAACACTGAACGGTTCTAGGGTTTTGTTAATAATACCATTTTCCATTGCAAAATGCCTCGGCCTGATTATTTCTTTTTCTATACAGTCCAGTCGCACAGGATAGAAAGCCATCTTCCCTACTTTTTGACCCTCAAATATAATTATATCATAAGCAAGGAATCTCGGTATGTTTCTGCCATCAACCTTGTCGATAACCATTTCCTGTGAATTGTATGTAAGATGAGGGGAAATAAAAAACAATTTCATTTAGAACTTGTCAAATCTAGGAAAAGACTTGAGAAGTCTTCTCTCTCTCACTGTCTTCTAATGAATGCAGATCTAGTGCGCAGGGCCATAACGGAAATCAGAAAGCTCTTCCTACATTTGACAAGCTGAACTCTTAATGAATATCAATAATACTTTTTGAATTGACTTCTGTTCAACCGATAAAGCAAGATTTCAGGTAAAGCTATATATACCTTAGATTACTTTGAGATTATTGAACATATATTTATTTTCCTGTTGATCAATTTACTGAACGAAGATTCCAAGATTACAGTTGAGAGATATTTCAGGATATTGTATTAAGTGACCCAAAGCGTACTTACACCATCCAAAAGGGTATCTTTCAAATGTCTTCTTACGTCTTTTCTATGTACAAATCTCAAACCATCAACCCTAAAAACATTGTGGTCTCTATCGAAAAAGTAGATTTCATCTTCTCCGTCAATCAACATCATATATCTCATACCATCAGCTTTCCACGACACCCTGGAAATTTTGAAATTATGAACGGATAATCAAGATGTCATTGGTTAAGCAACAGAAGCCTAATTAAATTTACCAAAATGAAACAACCACTGAAATAACCGTTATCACATTTTTACCTGTATGGCTTCTGGTGCAATAATGAAATATTATTTACATCCATGGAGACAGGTTGGCAGCCGGGAAATGCCTTTTTCTTCCATTCACACATTACTTGTACCTTTTTTTGAAGTTCATAGGCTTTTGGCTGTTCTTGAAAAAGATGTACACCTGGTACCCCTTCCATAAATTTGGGTATGTCTTTATTCCTATTCTTTTTATGTTTTCGAATATTGCTAAAATAATGAAACAATTTCCATAATGAATACAATGCTCCCATTCCAAGTGGTTTTCTAAAATGACTTCAGAGACGAGGACTACTTTGAACAAAAAAATGTCTGAAGTAAACCTTTGGAAAAGAAAGCACTTACTTTGAAGATGTGGAAGCCATTTCTGGAACACCATCATCAAAATCATCCAGACTGTAACTGTCTGGTGTATCATCACTTTCTAGACACCAATCAGGAATTGAAGGTGATGGAGGAGCCTCGTCAAAATCATCATAGCGTCTATACAATTCATCTATGTAGTCTTTTTTGTAGATGCCAACTGGTCTGAAATAAAAATTTCACATAAAAAATGCTCTACAAAAAATTTAGCCTGTTTTAATGAATTCAAAGTGGATTATATATAAAGTATATAAAGTGGATTATCTTAGCGACTGGACGAATGTACAGTAAAATGGATTAACGGGGTCTCTCAGTCAAAAATCAAAATCAAAACTCTGCTCTACTTTGCTAAGCTTTCGCTTCTAATGGAAAATTTCTTCAGTAAAAGATTAGTGAAAAACAATGAACTGAACATATAAATTGATGAAAAAAAGTTAAACATGTTTAGGTTTTCTTTGGTTTGACAAATGTCATACATTCACATTTATGTGAAATGTTTGCAGACGATCTCAAACTTTATAGGGTAGTAGATAACTTTTGTGATGCAGAACTGTTACAGCTCAATTTTGCGTATATTATGTGGCGAGACGAAATGACATTCACAAAGTCTGGCATGTTTAATCAAAGGATCGAATATTTTTATGCCACTTTCATGAGGTTAGATTCCAATATCGTTTGTTAATAATAATAATAAATCACTAGGACCCTATTTTATTGATGGAAACCTAACCGGAGCAAAATATGTAGAAATTATAGAAGAAATATTGGATGATCTTCCTATACGGTATCGGCGTAATGATCTCTGGTTCCACACAAGAATCAAGAATAATCACAGATTATTTGAATCAAACTTTTCCCCGATTCATGGATTTGAACAAGAGGTCCAGTGGCATGGCCTGCCAGATCTCCAATTGGAAGGTATTCAAAGAGACAAAATAAACAAATGTATAAAAAGTTTGAGTTCTAGAACCGCAAAGTGCATTTTACAAAATGGTGGACATTTCAAACACTTACTTCGATAATTTTCATTTACTTTCAAATAATCTTTTTTTTTTCAAATGAATAATAGTTTCATTTAATTATTATCAATTGAGTTTTTCTCCTGGTTTGAAATATGTGAACAACTATTACTTGTTTCTTCCTTTGATTCTGATAAAAATCCATTCAATTTGAGATAAGTGAGTTGATGTTCTTATTGAAATGTATTGCATGTTAATTAAACTAAAGGTAAATGTAATATAGATCCAAAGAAATTTGGATAAGGGTCAAAATCACCTGAAAATCAACTTTGAATGACACTGTCTGATATATCATTGAATTCAGGGTGAAAATTATTTTGAAAAATATCATGAAATATGCATTGAGAAAAAAAATGACGTTGAGGGTGGGCTCAGAGAGTAGGTAACATCGGAGTAGAAATCTGATTGTGTCAAATAGAGGAGAATTTACTATCAAATAAAAAATGTCTGTAACATTTTTTGATAATTTTTGAAATTATGTGGGGAAAAAATGAAAATGACAGAATGTACTTTCCTTATGATATTTCAGTAACCAGCCCTGATATTCTCGATTTGTTCGAACTACTTAACAGTGCTTCTATGAATGCAACTTTTTCTTCATTTGACCAACCTAACTCTTTATGGTTTAAAAGTTACCAATACAATCACATTCAAAAATGTTGCACAGAACTGATAATTTCAAATTAATAACCAATTCCTTGAAATTCATGTTATTAGATTCTCAAGTTGGTGTATTACAATATCAAGAACACTTTGCTTTCTTCAATTTACTGGGTAGTTTCAGAAACCACTGAATTTTCAGATCAAGTAAGAACAAAATGAACAGAGCTTTCATTATATTTCAACTATAATATCAACTAATAATTATAAATTATAGACTAAATATAGCGTTCAAGAGTTTCTCAAGACCTTTATTGACCTACATTAGCTCAAATATTTTAATGCATGAATTAGTCTTACCTAGCTTTAGCAAACATATCTAATGCAATTCCTAGATCGCAATCCATTTTTGTAACCATATATGAAACTATAAGAAACCCAGTTCGATTGAAGCCATGTGTACAATGAACTGCAATGCTCTCAAGGGGAAATTGTGAGATAAAATTGTGAACCAGTCCAATAAATGCTTCAGTTTGTTGAAGGGATGGTGTTTCACCATGTCCCTTGCAAGAGAGTTTCACATATTTACAGTCATAATTTTTAATTTCATTCTTGTCATAGAATCTAGTAGTGTTAGTTAAGTCGATCCATAAACCAATTTTGATCTGAAACATAAGAAGTGTCATTAGTGAATTCATTATAGTTGATGAAAAATACCTTTTTAGATTTACAACTGCTGAATAACATCTTCGGTGGAAATCTGCATTCAGGTGGAACAATTTCGTCGAAGGAAGAGCTCAAAGGAGTTTTCATCGCCATGAATTTTCCCATTATCAAAGTTTCCGATTTCCTTGGGCAATGTAACCACCTGGGTGGTACAGGCCCTGGGTTTTTTTTAGGCCCACTCATTATTTCTGGGAGTAAATTTGATAGGTTATAATTATTAGATATATGACACCTATTCAAATTACTTATTTGTTTGGATCATTATTAAGCACCTTTTGAATGCAATAAAAGCGCCTGAAGAAATTTGTGAAATGGAATAATTCAATCTTAACTAAACCCCATATTCACACTTTTCACTTTTAACATATTAACGTCAAAACAAAAATGAAGTTACATGTGCTGCCAATGTCACATAGCTGATCATGAATCATGATATTTATCGAAAGAATTATGGATTCCTGAGGTTATACTATAAAAAGTTAGTTCTGTTTATGTCTTGAACGCTGGCCGCCTTCAGCAAACTATCTAATTTTTCAATGAAAATTGAAAAGTTTCTACTATACAAGGTGTAACATAAGTTACACCTATTTTTTTCTTCTAGTATGATGAATATGATGATGTACCTTTAAAGAAGTGTCATTTATTGATTCAATCTGCAAGCGATGCAATTATGTATTGAAAAATAATTTGGTTTTTCATCTATTAATTTATTTGCCTGCAATGTTTTCCAATTTTCATGTGCGTAACTAATTATTCATTATAATTCAGCTATATTTTGAGGTTAAAATACTAATGTATTCTTTCAAGAATGATGATTGAAGACATTTTTTTTCCTAAATTACAAAAATCGAAATGAGTAATAGAAATATTATTAATAATAATAGCAGTGTTTCATTATATAATGCGTTTTCTTCTTCTTTTTTTTTGAGGAGGCACTTGAGAACAACTTGGTTCATTTTTGTTTGAAACTGAACCCGAAAACCGTTTCTCCTACAGGGTACGCTGCTTGATATGCTGGACTGTTAGTATTGTTGTAAATCATGCCCGAAAGAGAACAACGCCGGCCGCCACTGGTAACCATTAACCAAACGTGACGTAGCTAAGAGCGCGTGAATGTATGATGAATCACCGCCACTCTAGAAGCAGCGAGAATAATGCTACCGATTTCGACGGAACTTTGGCGAAATTCCTACGACATTCGATTACGATATTTAAACACTAGCCACGAGGATATCGACATAGTGAAGAGGAAGTTACAGTGAGGTACGCGAAGTCATTTAGTAAGGCGATAGACATTCAAATAATAGTTTTAAGTTTTAGTTGAAGTATTTGTTGTATTTGAAGTGAAATAAGGTTAGGTTTCATTATCCAGTGTAGTCAATTAGTGGTCAACCCACGGGAAAAAAACGTAACAGTAGTTTGTTGATCAACATTCTGTATTCGAAGTTGCTATTATCATCATCACAACAATTGACATCTTCACTGATAATGTCATTACTATATTCAATGAGATCTGAGACATTACCAAAACTGTTTCTACGTACAAAAAAAGAAAATTTTAAAAATGCAAGAAAATAAATTAATAGATGAAAAACCAAATTATTTTCAAATAAAACAATTGCATCGGTTGCAGATTGAATCAATAAACGACATTTCCTTGAAGGTGTTTTATCATACAGTGTGGTCCAACGAAAACTTAACACCTCGATTTTCCGGCGTTAACATGAAAATGTGGAAAATCGCTCGAACCCGTCAATTGCTGATTCGAGGGGGAACAACTTTTCCGCTGTTTTCATCCCCGTGACTTCAACCCCCTAACGGGGGTGAGCACAACCCCTTGATTTTGAATAGNTAGATTTAATATAAGTGAACAGTTCAGTAGTATACATATATGATCCGGAGTTTCTTCTTCCAATTCTACAGGATTCGGCATGATGAGATTTTAATTTACAGGTATATATGGACAAGATGTGTCGAATTCGATTAACTTCAGTTTCGTAGTTCTTTCTGGAATTGCATAATGATTTCCAAGGGTTTTCCATAGATTTTGCTTTGGTCAATGTGAATCAAATATTTTTCTGCTTGTTTCTGTAGTTGTTTGATTAATGATAGTTACAAATTTGTTGAAAAGCTCATTTGAAAGATCTATCAATTCTTTATGAAAATATATTCAATGTTAGTTTCAAAGTTATAATAATTTTTTAGTTCGAGTGGTTCATGTAATTTTTGTAGAACATAATTTTTAAAGGTGCAATAAAGAATTAAAACAATTTTATTCGAGAGTTTGAAACGTATCACTGTTTTTGTAATTTTAGCAGTTTGAAAACAGTATATCTTGGTTTGGAATTTGTTTATAACAAATTGTTTAGGTAATGAACAATAAAATTATCAATGAAATAATTTTCCTTGTTAATTTGTAGAGGAATGTCAATTATGATTTTTAAACATTTCTTAACTGATTATTTGAACATTTGAAATATAAAAAAAACGATTATGAAGAATTAAAAATTATTGGTAAGAAAAAGTGTTTTTCTAAAAATTATCTCATTATGAAGATAAAATTATAATTTTTTTTAAACACTCACATATAGTACATTCGTTTATAAACAATTTATAAACAAATGACGCTAATAATTTTTGTTTGACTCACCGAGTGTCTTCCACAGATCTATCAAGAGTGTTGAAAGAATTTTTCGATGATCTTGATCTGGAAGCTCGTTAGATGATCTATTTTCAGCAGGATGGAGCACCAGCCTATAATTTCAGTGGCGTGAAAAGAATGTTGCGAGTTTTTTCGGAAACATATGGATTGTTGCAAATGGTTATGTTAAGTGGCATCCTCATTCACCAGACATGAATCGAAATGCATTTAAAATCCATTTAAAAAATATCATTTATTGGAATATATTTAAAACGCGACTGTCATTTTTTTATATTCGGCATCGAGAAGACCATTGAAAATGCTACTAGTTTCCCCATTTAACCGAATTCGAAGAATTTATAATAACGGAGTTGGCAATGGTGCCGACTTGATTTGGAACACCCTGTATATTTAAATCTCTTCTTGATGTAATACTTAAACAAGCAAAACTGATAGCATACGCGGATGATCTAATATGTGAAGGAAAATATATTGATGAATTAAAAGACACAATGAACAACTTATTGAATGATATTAATAAATAGATGAAATAGCATGATTTTCAATTATCAAAATGTGAAATTGCAATTTTTAGAAAAAGTACATTTTATTGAACTGCATAACAAATACCATACTTGGTGAAAGCATACAAGAAATATGTAGTGAGCATTTTGAAAACGGTGTTTATAAAAACGAGGTGATACCGATTTTCAGTTTTGAATATGTCACTTATGTACAAGAAATTGATACAATAGATATACATAATTGAAAAAAATGATAGTGAAAATAAAAATAACTTTTTGTTAATGATTGAAAAATATAAGGATGAATATTCATTTGTATTTACAGATGTATCAAAATAAAATAATAACAAAGTGAGAATAGGGATTTCCATTTCAGGGCGTGACTATGCAATAGATGAAAGTATGGGGGTGTGCAAAAACAATTCGAAAAAATATAATAATAATATCGTCTTTATTATTTCATAACAAAAAATAAGAAACAGAAATTAACATAATTATATCCTTAACCTACGAAATGAAATAAAGGGCGAAGTTCATCGTCTGTAATGCATTGCATCACAGTGCAGTGCGACAGAAAGAATCAAAAACGTGGATAACTCAACAAAGAGTGATTATATATAACATTGAATAACAAGACAGAATTAGACCAGCTTTACAAAACGGCATAATATTTAAATGGCTTGGATACCCGGACATCAACAGTTCGAAGGTAATGAAAACGCGGATACTCTGGCAAAAATTGGCACATCTTCAAATATTACAACTACCGGACTGAGTCATGCCCCTCCTTCTCAAGATGTGCAGTAGATGTGTAGAAATCTGTTATCATTCTGTTAGATTATTCAAGCCGTAAACATCCATACTACGTAAAATTGCAAACAAAAGTTTCTATTCCTTTTTTCCTAATACTTTCTTTGTCGTACACCGACCCAACTTTACTCAACTCTAGCTCCCGGCCATAACTCAGTCCGGTAGCTAGAGTATTATGCTGAACACTGTACATTGAATGGATGGATGGATGAAAAATTTCAGACCATATTTGAAACAAACAATTTATCAAAATGAAATTTTACACCTAATGGAAACACAACATACAAAATAACAGGAAATGTATTTTAGCGTTCAATCGGACTTTCCTATAAAACCATTGTATACAAAAATACTAAACATGGATACAAAACATATTACTAGTATAATAACCTATTAGGATGAGAACAGTTCATTATATTCAAAATTGGAAGAAGTAATAGCCCAAATTGTGAATGAGGAACAATTATTCATATTGTTTTGGAATGCCCCATCAACACTATTACTGGACAAGAAAAATTGATTGAAACTGGAATTTCAACTCTCCTAGACATGAGTACAGTGTTAAGAAACTTAAACTACAGAAATGTCAAAGAGCTAGTTAGGTATATATGGCTTACGACAATATAAAGATGTAGATGAATGGAGAAGGTTGAAAGTTCTCTGAAATCCCATATATAAAAAAATACATAAAACCAATCCTAATTTGTTAACATTATTACCGGTGAGCACAAAACAAAAACTGAAAGGTAAAAAGAGTTAAAAATAAGAGAGCAATTGTAAAAATATATAATTATATAAATCTCTGTTTAAAATCTGAAGAAGAAGAAGAAGAAGTGAATTTAGGTTGATATTGCGCAAAGCAAGACGATCTGCTACCAAATACGAAGCTGCTGTTCAGTGCTGCCGTTAAGGTACTATTGTACCGCATTCGGTACTATTCCATGATTTTGATACGAAGATACTACCCGGATCAATATGTAGACTATTCGGTACTATTTACTATAATCCCAATTTTTTACATTTTCACGTTGACTCCCATCGAGTACAGTAAAAAATAACAACAATATGTGTGGCAACAATGCAATTCCGTGTTTCAAGTTCCAGATCAGCAAATACCGTACTTGTGTCAAAATTGCGAGCTATCATCATAACTCTGCATTATTTAATCCTGTGTTCTGTATTGTGCCTGTGAACTGTGGTTCTGTCATCTGTCAGTCAGTCAGCAGAACAGCAGTTTCAACTTCTAACCTCACACCTCACCTTGAGAAATTGGTTTTATTGTTTTGTCANTAATCGAGATACAGTTTCGGGAGTCGGGACTTTTTTTACGCAAATTCATTGATCTTTTCAAATCTTTTTTCAAATTTCCAAAATTTTGATAATTTTCCGAGATATTAAGAAAAAACTAAAGCTCCATTTTTTTCACTTAATTATTTATAACTTTTGTAATTTTTATCGGCGCGTTTTCGGACCTTTCCCTAAACTTTCTAGGCAAAAATACGAATCGAATGACACCTTGGTCGTAATTTTTGGACAGGGCTGAAAAATGTTACAAAAAAAGTACATGTGAACTAGACTAATATGTAAAATCAGTCTCAGACAACGAATTTCAGCAAGCAGCAACACAATCACTCACAAAGACAAGTTGATTATGGACTTTTCTGTTTTCTTTCCATTAGAACAAACAACATGCGTGCCTTCAGGCGGCCATTTTGATTTAATTTTGACAGCATCTCGAACAGGTCTATTCCTGGTTTCACTCTTGTTCTGCTATTGTTCTCATGTTCCCAAAGTATTTTGGGAACATGAGGATTCCAGGACGGTATATATTAGGGAAAGAAAGATATATGGCTTTCTACTTCTCCATCTCTAAACAAAAAATGGGGGAATTTTTCAAAGAGAGGAAGAACGCAATTAATTTCAAAATGAACTCTATACAAAGATGTGTAGATCATGCAAAGGAGTAACTTTCAGACCAAACTGAAAGAAATAGCCTTGTTGTAACAATTACTGTCATATAAATATTAGTTCGGACATTGAAGTGGGGACTAATTGGAACTTAATATTTACCCATGGTTTTTCATTTGTGAGGACCTCTGAGGTGAGGACTATTATGGCACTGTTCTGTAAAAATATTCTGTGCGATGATTCTGCGTTGTCTGAGACAATTCGGATCTTATTTGTCAGTTCGGAATCTAGAACCAAAAACAGACCTAATTTACGTTTCGTGTTGATATCAAAATTGATGTGTGCTTATCTAATGACATTTCTAGTAGGTATTTCGATATAATACTAATAATTACTAGTTTCTCTCCAAAATATTTTTCAAGTAATGTCTATTAATTTAACTAAGTAGGTGGGAAGAAACTGTCTGAATAACTATTATTGTGAATAAATAATCTAAAACATGGGGATTTTTGGAAACTCTAGTGATGCTGCTGTCACTGAAGAAGTTGGTGAGTCATATGTGTTTTTGATTCAATATTGACGTGAACATCGTTATTGTCCTGTGTAATATATTGTGAAATATGTTTTTATTAAATTGAGTATTTTTATTTGTATCAGAGACTGCAACAAGCGAGAAGAATGTCGAAGAGGACTGGAGTCTCATTATGAACATTTGTGATAAGGCTGGAAAATCACCAGATGATTCTAAGAACTATCTGAAAGCTATAACAAAACGTTTATACAATTCTGATCCTCACATAGGTGTGAAAGCAGTCACTGTAGGTTCTAAAGAGTAAACTAATACTGTTTATTATTGATCCTTTTTTTAGTTATTGGATGCTTGTATCAAAAACTCTGGGAAACATTTTCACATGGAAGTAGCTTCCAGGGATTTTGAGACTGATTTTATGAAGTTGATGACCAAGGCCAATCCGAACACAGCAAAAAAGTTACGAGAATCTTTGAAAAAGTGGGCTGACAATGAGTTCAAATCGGATGCTCAACTAAGTCTAATACCATCTTTACTCACCAAATTGAAGAAATCCTATGACTTCTCAAATGTTGAAGCTGTGAGTAACATTTTTTTCTTCAACTGATATTGATAATTCCCAATTAGTGTTATTTCCAAATAAATAAAATTTCTAATATATAATTGGGGAATTTGCATATTTTCAAAACAATAAAAATGGGCACACACCTTGGATTTGCTCGAGGTATATATGATATGAATGATTGTAAGAGTAACTTGAATAAATTAAAATATTAAACATACTAATGAAACAATATGAAGAACTTTTCTTTTTTAATTTTTAATTCTTCTTTGTACAATAAAGAAAGAAAGTCTATTGATACATAATTTGAATTTGGTTTCAATCTTATAGGCATATTTTGAAATTCCTCGGAATGTCTTACACTCGATTTTACCATCTGGATTATATTTCAGTGCTCTAGATCGTTAACAGTTGGATCACCAACTTTGAATCCAGGTGTAGTTGTCTTTGAAAAAAGTCTTTGAAAGAAGTGTAATCTAAATAGATCACCTCATACGGTCTAGGATTTTTTCGAGCCAATTTACATATGGAGACATAATTAAGTGGCACATTAATGGTTCTACCTTTTAGTTGCCTCTTTATTGTAGAATGCATAGAGTCACACTCCATTTGGGTATGGCCCTTTTCTAAATATTTCTGGATGATAGAAACATGTTTTTACGAGTGCAATATTTAACAACGCGTTGCTTACAGAGCTGATACGTTCAATTTCGGGCACAAAAGTACTGACTGGAGGTCCATCGGAAATACCCTATTTTTTGAATTTTTGTCTTCTTCTTTTGCTTCTCGTGCTTCTTCTCTCTTGATAATGTACTTTCTGTAAACAGATTCCTCTAGATTTTTTGTTTTGTAGCTCATGCAGACATCGCATTCGTCTTCTTTTGGCAAAAACAATGCTAAATTCAGATCTTCAAACATGCTTGAGAATGTGGCAATTGATAATGGAGCTATATTATGTTCTACACACCAATTATCTTTATACAGTAAATAAAGCTTCGATTTGGTGTTGAACGTTGGCTCTATATATAATTTCGTTGACGATTTCCGACAATAGTGTGATTCAAGTTTAGGCAGATCTTTAAAGAATTTTTTCAAATTTGGCTTTCCTTCATCGAAACATGAAGGTTTTTTTGTATATTTTCATCACTATGTTTTTCATTTTCACTTTTGGCTGGGGTATACATTTCATCTTTTATCCACTCTGATATGGTTCTCATAGAAATTCCTAACGTATTGCAGAACATGAGCTCACAAACCCTAATTTTTTCGCTTTTGTTTTTTAGAAAATACTTATACGAAGATGTCCTCTAGCTTACTTCCGGTTCCTTTCTATGCCTTGATCTTTTCGTTTCATTTTTCAAGACTTTTGTAGAAATGTAGTACTTCTTCTCAGGCCACCCATATACTTAACCCCTTTCTATCTACTTACTTTATTTGTATTTTATTTCCATTCTGCAGGATCAGAAAATCTTCTCTTCTTTCTTTTTCGTGAAACTTCTTCACTAGAATGATTATTTTCTTCATCAAAATGTTGTTCCCTATCATTGTTGATTTTATATGTAGGGTCATTGTTTTCATTATCTACTTCGTCTGGATTATTTGTTGCATCTTCTTCATCATTATCTCCATTGCTAATATTTCTGAGGTTTTTTTCGAAATCCATAGGAGTTTCTGTTGGCGCGTCTATATCGTTAGTTGTATTGGCATTAAGCATCTCATCGAAAAAAAAAAAGTATCAAAGTTTGTATCCGTTTGCAATATGCCGGATATTACTGCATTGTTGAGAAAGCTGAATGATAAATCATTGTTTTTCCCTAGGTCTGAAATGTTTTCTGTCAAATGAATTTCTTGTTCTAATTCTGCTAGAGCCGACTGTAGCTTTTCCTCGTATTCTTCTGCAAAACACTTTCAATTTTCCGCACTCTTTGTATCAGTATGATTGTCTTGATCTTTGTCTTTGAACAGTTTTATTGTCGTGTTTAATTCTATAGAATCACGAGTTGATGTTCCATAACTATCGTTAGTTATGTCCTTCAAAGCGATGGCCGGATGTTTTGTTAAACTCAACAGTTTGAAACCTCTTGTCCTACGATCCATAGCTAAAACAAAATACTTGTTATCTTTAGCCACAAAGTGTAAAGTCACTGGTTAAAATATCCCAGTAAAGAAGCCCCCATCTCTACAGTAATAATTGATATTCAAAAGGCTTTGAAAAATGCATAACTCCCGTGAGTTCTAAATATATCAACAGCGTGAAAAATGCCCAACTCCCTAAGTTTACAAAAATGACATTAATCCAGTCTAATATATGTTAACACATTTCAAAAGCTTAAATTTATATAGTATGTACTTACCTTAGTGATATTGAATCTCAGTCTGATAAAATAACGGCTAATTTAAAGTCTGACAAACTGAAAAGCACGACACCAAACACAGAAAGAACCATCAAGGTACACTTCCTAGGACTTATGCAACTTTCTTACTGATTTAACGCGCATTTCATACTTCTGTTTCTAGTGCCATCTAAATACTTTTTACATAGTTATTTGATTTCAATGTATAGATACGCTGCTTCGCTAACAAATAGAGCTAAAAACTAATTTTGTGAAAAATTGGACTTATGCAATGTTCACATTAGGCCGACGATATTCAAGTAATACTTTATTGCGAGGTTTTACTAAACATATAAAAAACCTCAACATATGTTTCTCTATATGCTTTTTTATTTAATTTCAGTACAATACAGTTGATACGGAAATAGCCCAAACAAACTATTGTATAGTGAAACATGTGTTGTGGTTTTCTGAACTGTTTGGTGAAATCTTACAATACATTGTTACTTACATAAATTTTCAAACTTTCATCAACACTTAGCCAATTCCATAAAATATTGAACTTTCAAAAACAGAATAATTAAAGGAAATAATAATTTTTTTCAATAAAACAAATGATTGAAGTTTGAGAAAACCAAATTGAAAACATCAATTGATCAACCTGAAAATATATGAAAAGTTTTCAAATTAACATCCAAATGAAATAATTGTCATGCTAGAGTCCTCTTAGCTACAAATTGGTTATAGAATGAAAATCATCATTCTCGGTCATTCTAGGGCGTAGCCAGGATTGTATATGGGTGGGGTGGGGGGCAAACAAAGAAAATTCTAGATTATTTTGTTTTCATGTTTTCAACATATGAGTTCGACATGTGCAGTGGAGTTAGTAATTGAAAAAATTATCAAAATCAGTATTATTCTCATACTGCGATTCTGCAGCTTTTGTAGTTGTGAAATTTTATTTGAATCAAGGGAATAAAGTAAGCTACCATAGGCATTGCGAAATTCTGGAGAAGAAGTATAGTTTCTCATTAGTTTTTTACTTATGTAGGAAAAATGTTCATGCAATAATAGGCTATTATCAAGTATGAATCCAAGATATTTAAACTGGTTCACAAATTCAATTTTATTGTTATCTATTTCCAGGTTCAGTTGATTTGAGTTGATATTTTTGTATCTGAAGGGTGTGGTTAGGATCATTGCCTTACATTTTGTTACGTTGAGTTTTATTTTGTTAATGTTGAAATACTAGGTGAATCAAATATAAACGATATTTTTTTTTGGTAATTTAGTTTTATTTTAAATGCAAAAAAGAATATAGTTTATTTTTCTACATAATCTCCTGATTTGGAAACACATTTTTCCCAGTGGATAGGCAGCTTTCCAATTCCTTCCACGTACAAAGATGCAGGTCGTGTCTGCAGCTAATTGCGCACGTAGGCTTTAACCTCAGCATCACTATCGAATCTTTGGCCTCCCAAACCTTCTTTGAGAGGGCCAAACACATGAAAGTAACAGGGTGACAGGTCTGGACTGATTCCCAGCAATGATTCCCACCCCAGTTGCTCCAATTTTTCCCCAGTCAAGGCTACTGTATGGGGGCGAGCATTATCATGGAGAAGAACCACTTCCCTGATCGATCCCATTCATTCATATTTATATAATAATAATAATAATAATATATTACATTCGGGGGATAGGGCCTGACCAGCGCACACTACGGGAAAAAAATAATAATAATAATCTTTATTGGTTTCAAAGACCTAAAAGGCATAAAACAATTCAAAAGAAATTTGAACATAGATTAAGCAAACAATACATACATACATACTTTAAAATGCTATAAGGAGCAGAGAGAGTTCACTACGAAGATGAGAACTCGTCCATTGTATAATACAAATTATCCAGTAAGTATATTTTCAGCGTTTTTCTGAATCTGAAGTAAGATACCTCCTGATCGATTTTTGTCAATAATTTCTCGAAAACATTTATATTAATTACTCTCTGAAGACATCTGATCTGGTAAAGCTTACTGTTCAATTTTTTATTGTTTCACTTATGTGAGATTCCCAATCAAGTGTATCACTCATAGTTACACCTAGAAATTTAATTGTGTGGCACTTCTCTTGTGTGGTAAATAATGAAATCTGTCTTGCTAGCATTGATATAAAGACTATTGATGGAGAACCATAGAATGATTTTTTCCATGAGATCATTGCAAGCTTGTTGATTGAGATCGTGATATTTTGTGATACTAATATGGAGAGATCATCAGCGTATAACGTTAATTTAAAATGTGAGAGGTATTTTACAATGTCTGCTATGTGGATTAAAAATAGAGCTGGAGCAAGAACACTCCCCTGAGGAACTCCAACTTCCACAGGTGCAAGATGAGAGTGGTGAATTGTGTTATTCTCATCGCAAGATATTTGTACATACTGATATCTATTTTTGAGAAAAGATTCGAACCAGCTAAAAGCAGATCCCCTGATATCATAAGACCAAAGCTTGTCAAGTAGTCGATTGTGTGGAACACAATCAAAGGCTTTATTTAAGTGACAATATATGCCTATAGGGCTCTTTTTTTTTTCTAATTCATTGATAATGTGTATATAAGTATCTGTGGTTGCTGTAGATGTAGATTTAGGTTTTCTGAATCCATGCTGTTCTTCTGGGATAATTCTGAACCTTGCAATGAATGAGTTTAGCCTCTCTAGCATACAATATTCAAAAAGTTTGGAAAAAACTGATGTGAGTGATATGGGTCTATAGTTATTCATTATATTTTTTCCTTCTTTTTATGGAGTGGACTCACTTTTGCTATATTGAGAGCATCGGGAAAGATGCCTGTTTCTAGTGAAAAGTTTATTAAGTGAGTTATAGGTTTCACCAAATCATT